ACGAGTATTTTAGTTTAGTAAAGTTAAAGTTAACCTACTACTATTAGTTTATTATTTTACTTCTACTAGAAACCAACGACATGGTTCTATATACTTATACACACACACACACACACACACACACATATATATATATATATATATATATATATATAAACACACATATATACACTTGTTTGTAAAGTTATAAAAGTGCTCACGTGGATTTCTATTGATATTGAAACGTTATAATATTTCATAAAAATGTAGATTTTCATCTATTACTAAACTCAGCTAATGTTCTATAGTGGGACGATAGTTCTTACACCATAAATGGTTAGAAATTCTGAAAAAAATTATGTAAACGCTATTTTCTAAACTTTTACTTATCATATTCGTTTTATCAATTGAACAGAAACAACATTTTAAAACTATATGGATAATCGATTTCTAAAACATTCATGATTAGTTTCTTAGCTTCGCATGAAATTCAATTAACTCTCTTCATTGTGTTTTCATCATTTTTACTCAGACAAATGATGCTTTAGGAAGTACATTCAACTGGATCTACTTTGTGCCTCTCATCATCCTCGGGTCATTTTTTATGCTCAATTTAGTTCTTGGTGTACTAAGTGGGTAAGTGATTTTTTTTACCTTCTGTGAACATGGGGCGCCATTTATATATATTCATATTATTTGTATTTTGCACTATTTAAAAGGATATTAACCAATATAGAAAATAATCAGAGCAAATGCTTCCAAAATAAATTGTTTTTTTGTTTTTTTACATTTTTGACCTTTAAAAATTCAATATGGTCCAGCCAGCTCCAGGAACACTGGATGTTTAGCATGATACTTATATAAATTAATTCTTAGTCTCAAATTATTAGGTTCTCCAACATACAATTGTTCAGAACTAGAACATTTTAATGATAAATTACGTTTTTAGCATTAAAATCAAAAGTACCTTAAATAATTCCCGTCCTTTTGGTCCAAGAATATATATAGTTCCATATTCCAGATATCTATTGGTAAACATCAAACAATATTTTCTATTAAATGTAGAGGTTGATGTTTAGCTCAAATTATTTTACAGCTGTTGAAAATTTTCTTTGACTTACCTACAGCTTGTTCAATTTGTTTTTTAATGAAGTTCATATCAATTGATAGTTCTGGAAATGAAATGGGTTGTGGATAGTGGTATCACATTTTTATTATTATCCATATATTTAATTTTTTATTCTACTTGATGAATTTTCATATTAAAATCTCTCAGTAATTTTCTCTGGGTAATGACATTTTATCAAAAATTGTTTCAGTTCTTAATTTGAGATTTCTCACCTGCAGATTGGATATTATAACCTATATAACTTTTATGCCAATGTTATAATAGTGAAGGTCAAATATATATATATATATGTGTGTGTGTTTAGCCATCTGAAACAATTAAGGTTAGCCTGTTTATGTCTCTTAACATAATGTTTCTATTCATGATGTTACAAAAACACGTAGATTCAAGTAGTCTTGATAGAAATGAATAGAAACCCGATAAGCCTATTATAGGATTTTTATTCATAATATTTCTATTAAAATCCTTCGTTGCATGGTAACTTAATTTCATATCTCTTGCACAGGTTGCCCGAGGTTAGCGATATAAAAGCTTATGTATGTAGTTTTTATACAAAAGTATCAGTTCTGATTTTTCATTTAGCAGCTAAGCTTTAGGATTAAAATATATAACTTTATAATGTGTTTACAGCGAATTTGCAAAAGAAAGGGAAAGAGTAGAAAATCGACAGGCTTACTTAAAACTTCGACGACAGCAGCAGTTAGAAAAGGAGTTGAATGGTTATGTAGAGTGGATATGTAGGGCAGGTGAACAGTTTTCCTCTCTAATATTGGTCTATTTATTATTCAACTATTTTATACATTTAAAATTCAGTTGTTTATTGATGCTTTTCTTATGATATAAAGATGTTTAACTTGAGTATTACTAAATCATAATTCACGTGACTTTTACTTGTTCATGTTTACTGTGTTACTATCAATAATTTAGAATCAAATGAACTTTGAGGAAGTACATATTGAAAAACTCTCATAAGCTGTGTAGGGTAAAATGTGCTCATTAATACAGTATGCTATGTCAGCTTAGCTTACATGACTTTCAGATTATGATTACATATAAAGAGAGCAATTTACAGATTATTTTGTTTCATTGCAATCAAAATGTGTATAAGTTGTTGACAAGCTCAACATATAAATATTGTGAAACAGTTGTAGTTTTTGAAATTATTGATTGCAAAACAATATGTACACGTTATTCACATTTTATGCTTCAGTTAAAAACGTGCTAAAAATAATGTTTCGACATAATATTTTTATTTTGGATGCTTTATAATAGTAACAGTCAAATTCCACTATTCGATTAAACTAGCCCTTGAGTTTAGTAGTGGGTGGTGTCAACTAGCTTCCTTTCGTCTAGTCTATTACTTCAAAATTAGAAATGGCTAGTGCAGATATAGTCCTAGATTAGCTTTGAATGAAATTCAACAAACAACAAGAATAAAGTTCTAGTGTCTCATTTATAAGCTAGGATATTCAGCAGTAATAAAGAATCACACTTTTTGTTCCGATTGAAAATATTTAATCATCTTCTAATGTCCCAATAAGTGGTAAAATTTACCGATAATGATGAAACACAAAAACGTTCCAAGACAAAATTGGGTTTTGTTAGCGAGTTAGCCCATAAGACTTCTTGCGCTTCTGATGTTTTAGTAAAAGAATATGTAAGTAAATAACATATTGTATCATTGTTGAATTCATCTTTCTGAGATGTTAAGCTTCCAACAGGAAATTTATAGAAGAAATAATTTCTCTTACTATTTTACAGAGGAGGTAATCTTAGCTGAAGAAAGAACGACAGAAGAAGAAAAAATACATATAATCGAAGGTGGGGAGCTAAAAATGTTTGTATATAACATCCTTTATTTTGTTCTGTATCTGGTAGAGAATGAAGTGCTCATCTAAACAAACAAGTAGATAGAGAGATAGAAGAAATAAACTTTTCTCTTATTTCACAAGCACTTTTTTTAGATGGATGTTTTGAAACTTTAATCTTTTCTTTGCCTGACTTCAAGTCACACTATCCCATGAATGCTTCCCCTCAAATATATATATATATATATATATATATCAAAATCATTGATTATAACTTAGCGTTCAAAGCTGACTGGGTTTATATTCATTTTCTTCAGCAAGAGGCAGAGCAGCAGCCAAACGAAAAAAACTGAAAACAATGCACAGTAAAAGTACAGATGAAGAAGAAGAGGAAATAGATGAAGATGGTAAAGTCCTGCAGTATTATAACCAATTCAAATGTGCAAATAAATTTAAAGAAACAGTCTGAAAAATTTATAAGTAGACAAATGCACATAGAATAAAAAATTAGGTAGTTTGAGAAGGTGTACAGACTTATAGATAGAAAAGTATTATCTAGTTAAACTAATAGATTTTTGAGTTCAGTAAATTTTAGGTAAATATTTTGGAATATTGTATTGAATCTTTTTTACTAGAATATTCTTCGTGTTTAAACAACTAAATATGTTTTATTACTCTTCAAGTTACATATCAACTGTAACATAACGTTTACCTCTTTCTTTTTTCTTGCTTTCACTAATTTCTTCTAGAGTGTAAAGTTTTTCTGTAGGTAACTTGGTGAATGTGCTATTTCTAGACCCTTTGGTGTGTTTTAAAGTAATTTTTGTTTCTTTCTACTTTGAATTTGTTTCAATAAATATTTGTATATGTACATGGTAATAATACGGAAAGATATATGTTAGATAGAATGTATCTTTGTTTGTTTGGTCTTCATTAACTGATATTCTTCCTTTTCTCTTCTTTTGCATGTTCTTTCCTGGTTTTTGCACAACGCCCTCTTTTACCCTCACAAGCCCCCACAAAGACGGGTAAACCAAAAGGTACAGAACTGGGAGCTTGCCTTTATTTAACAAAACATGTGATTTTTTTGGGGTGATGTGCTTGTAGGGTTCGAGAACCAGTTAAATCACCATGTGACATACAGCATTAGCAGACAAGATCAATGACTTATAATGCTGGTAAACTTTGTCATGTGTAGCTCTAAACAATTTGGCCAATAACAGGTGTTTTTGGCAAGAGTTGATAGAGAAGTCAATGCTGAGTATTTTGTTTAATGTCCATATTCTTTCAGTACTCTTTGAAATGCGTATTGATATTTTGCCAATAAACTGTAAGTTAAAAAAACTCATATATTTTCATTGAAAAAACTCTTACTCCTAACTGAATAGCATCTTGCAAAAATCAATTGTCATGTCTCTCTCTTTTGTTTTGTATATCAGTTTCTTGTTCTTACATAATTTATTTTTCAATTTCATCTCTGGGAAGCTTTAACTATGATTCAAAATTTTAAATTTTATGATGTTGATATGTTGTGTTAATAGCCTTTTAACTCTCAGTTTTCTTTAATGTTTGTAAGTTAATAACATTTACACCAAACATTTGAATGTTAAAAATCCTTTGGATATTTTTAATGTCTCCTACAGAGTACCTTTCAAACATTTTTAAATGTCCTTTTTTTAATATTTTGTTTTGCTATTGTTATACATGACTTAACATTGCTAATATTAAATGTTTGTGCTAACAGCAAAAAATTTAATGTATTCAAGATATCAGGGACTAAGATTAAGTAAACAAGACCTATTATTTTTGCTACATATTAATGAAAATATCCTATAAGGTGCATCACAAAATTTGATATACAAGTTTTAACAGTTTGTTATGTAACATGTATGTGGATCTAAGCTGCTACAAAAAATATGTTAAACAAGTTCTAAGAACTCATTGTGTAATACGCACTTTTGTGGTTAAAAGGTTTCTCACGTTGTAATCAGTTAGACTGCCTCATATGGATAATACAGATATTTTGAGTAACATGAAATGTTATTTTTTTATTTACATGAAAGGTGTTTGGTTTTTGTTAGTGTAACTTTTTTTCCATCACTAACGATAACTTTTATTATGTCTGCCAGTTTGTTGTAGTGATTGTGCAAACAAGACAGAATTCTTAATATTTAAAAAAAAGATCTACATTAACACTTAACTGAATCACTATATAACTATTAAACAAAAGTCTATCAGTTTGAAAATCTTTAACTATCAAAAGGAAATAAACGTAAAGCAATGTTAAAACTTCTCCAAACCCATGTTTTAATTTTTTATAAAATTTCTAAAAAATTGGGTATATTGGTCAAAAAGTTAATTCAAAGGTTGAGTATATTATATTAACGCCTTGTCATTACAACCCATGGTGCCACATCCAGTCATGCTCTTTCTGAATACTGTGTACCTTGTCAATAGCCCTGCAGCAAAGTTTCCATTGGGAAAGGCTCTGTCATAAGGTTTTCATGCCTAAGTACACTACTTCTTCCTGCATTCTTTCCATATTTCACTTAGTGTATGAGAACGATAATTTCTCAGTATCCATATAAACAGTCCAATCACACAGATATTCATTGACACTTTATCTGGTAACTTTACTAGTTTGTCTTTATATAGGATAGCATAACTACCAATTTCACACTATAGCTGCTTGAGATATGTGACAGTTGAACTGTATGTGACTGAGAAGCTTTATCTTGGTGAACTCGTACCTCGTTGGCCTTATTTTCAGATGAACACCCTTCTTGACTACATTGCATACTGTTGTCTGGGATATGTGGACAGCTTTTTACACTGACTTTTGTGTTTGTGGATTACCACTTATTACAATAAGCCACACTTTGCTTATCATTGCTTCATTAGAACTTGTTGCAGGTCACTATTTAGATGGTTCTGGTACCCCAAACTGGTCAATATTTATTTGTTTACTTATAAGGGATATCCCTATCTTGAAAATTCTGAATCCCTGATATGAACACGTCTTTATAATCTGAGCATATGAATATTTTGCATCACAAAGAGCTGTT